CTAACGCACAGTGTGCTAGTGTGTTTTTGGTGTTCGATTCGTGCAGAACTGTCCTTCTCCAGTTTGTTTCTCGCTGACTGGTCCACTTCCAGTCCCCCAGCAGTGTTTCAATCCGGTAACATCGTTCCCCTTTTTAATAAATCCTTTTCTTTTCCAGCTTGTGCATCTCTGTTTAGAATGCTTGTTAGGCTACCTATTTTTCGGTGCTACTTTGTGTGCACGGGGGCACGTTAGGCCCTTTAAAAAGGCTTGACATTGGCCTCTGCTGTTATATACATACGAGGAAAGTAAAGGACCACTTGTTGAAGATAACTATTTTACGTTTACTGCAACTAATGCACTTGGGGTTAAATATTTTGTTACCAAGATTCTGTGTGATACTTGCTTACAGGGTTATTTTATTTCACAAGAGTTAGTGACATGAAGGGGGCAACATCTTCTTGTGATTGTTGTGGAAGGGTTTTTAGTCCTTTGTTTGCATGGCATGTTTGCTGAAACATGCCTCACTTTTGGGGTGAGAAGCAAAGATTTGATAGCGACTCACCATTCTCTTATTTCTGTTTATATTGGGCCACCTGTGACTTGGTCCTCTGTGTTTGGCTTAAGCCCTTTCTGTGCTCTCTGTTGTGCTATGATATGTCTGCTCTTGCATCAATGTTCTATTTCCTTGAGGATGTTCATTTGGTACTGCAATGACGCTGGAGCTGATTATGCATTAGTTCATCATTCGGGGACCTGAATGATGTCCAAAATTTCAAATTATTGTGTGATCTAGTTGCAAAGAAGCCATTGAGTGCTAACCTGAAAAGTCTTTGTTTCGGATGAACAGGGCTCTTGGACTCGTTCCTATGAACCACAGCAGCATACTACATCTCAAGTCCCAGTTAGTGCTGGAGTTTTGTTCTATGGAAGTGAGAAAATATAGTATAAAGGCTAGCATCCTGTGATCATGGCTACATGAGTAGTGTAGGAGTTTTGTTCTATGGAAGTGAGAATATTTGAGGTTTGGTGGAGACTGATCTGTTCTTGTTGCCTGCAGATTCCTTATTCCTGGAGCTTGGTCCAGTTAGTATGTGGCCTGGTGAAATGGGTTTGGAGTGGTGGGTCTCCCCTGTTTATTGGGGATCCTTCCCAATTGGGTTGGGTTCATATTTTTAGCTTAGCCTGTCAATGTCAGACGAGCTGAGGAGCTTTTATAAAATGCCATTCTGTTTTTGATAAATCCTTTTCTTTTCCAGCTTGTGCATCTCTGTTTAGAGTGCTTGTTAGGCTACCTATTTTGCGGTGCTACTTTGTGTGCACACTTGGGTGCTTGTACTTTTAAAGGTCTTGGTAGGAATTGTGAACCTGTTTTGTCCGTGGGTGCTTCTACTTTTAAAGACCGTGGTGGAAATAGTGAACTGGATTTGTATGGAAACATGCTAAGAAAAGATACTGAGTCACTACAGAAGAGTAATTAATATGTCAGGGATTTGTTTCACCAGATATCAGGTGCATGAGTTTAGACGATGGTGTACTTTGTCTACTCTCTGAAACCCATCATAGTGAAATTACAATGTCACGTTTGTCTTTGATAAATGTCGAGTATGATGCTTTGGGTAGGAATGAAAACTTATGTTGTTGGAACTGTTGCGAAGGGAAACATCAACATAGAATAGTTCAGGCAGGCTGCTTAAGCAAATAGCGCTAACATGTCTGCACTCATGGTATTGTTTCATGTTAAAAAGCTTCGAGTTTGACCAAACTCTGTTGTGTGGTTGCAGGAATTGTGAACTGAAAAGAAGAGGGAAATAATGATGATGCTCTACAAGGAGGAGGCCCAGCAATGATGATGAGCTGCATCAGATTCAGAGGTCAATTTCCATTCTACAGTTTTCAATTGTTTTTAACCTCTTCAAGAGAGAAGATCCCACTTCCGTGTTGGATTGCGTCAGGTTTGTGTAATAACCCTTTCTTTCTTCATTCATTATTTCTTAAAGGATCCAAGTAATGCTTAGAATGAGCTCACATGCAGTCTATTCGTTCTGAATGGGGGAACTACATTTGGCAATTATGCTGAACGAATTCAGAGAAAATGCAAGGTAATGCCATTCATTTGTTTTCTCCTGGTATTTCCTTTTCTTTTGATTGTATGCAGAAGTACATTCACTTCTAATATGTGTTTCTTGACGTTTGCCCGTGATCTGCTTGACTTGACTGGGCTCGAGGTAGGAAGAATTACACAAGATCACTCTTAACCGAAGACCATTAAGACAACGACCACGATGCAGCTCCATCAACCTCTTCGACGAAGAAGGCAATCTGAAGCTACAGATACGTTTCGAGTTTGGCAAGCCATTTGTCTCCAAAATTCCATTCGGAAGGTCGTTTTTTTCCCCTGTTTCAGTTACTTTGCAATCAGTATCTCGCTCTTTTCCTCCGACGGCGGATTCTGCAGATAACTAGGAGTGGCAGTAGCAGCACAGCAGCAACGGTAGAAAGATACAACATTAACCAAGTCTGAGGAAGCTACCACAACTAAGAAAAACACTTATATTAATGTCTTCAATAGTGATCTGTGAAATAAGTACACGATATACTTGGTAGACATTTCCTAGCTTACTTTGTTTGGGTAAGTATGAATATGGTAAGGGTTGCCCGTGACTGTTTGATATGCGACCAAAATGTTCATCCATTGCTGCACTGATCAGTTTTTCCTGATGTGTACATAGCTCTCCGCTCTCTTGAAACATCCCCTTCAATTTAAGTACGGACTTCCCATTTTTAGGCTGGATATGCAATTCCTAGATGAATCCGTTGCACGAAGGATTATCGATTCGACACGACTTGTTAATTATTCAGCCAGGTCTGCTGCTCTGTTCCAGTACTCATTTTAAGAGCCACGTGAATCCTGATGCAATTTAGAACTCGAAATACGATAATCATCATACGTATGGGGAATTTTTAATACAATTAAAGAAAATAATTACTACTTATACAAACTTCATGTTTCCTGTCCAGTAAAGCATCGTAATCATGCATGGACACGAGAATTCTAGCTGTCTAGCTAGCTAGCTGCTGTTTTAGACCGACAATATAAACTGCAGAAAATGCTCTGATACCTCCACACACAAACCATTGAGAACTGCTGCCATCGCAGCTGCAAACAACAATAAAAAGCACAAATACAACACAGTGGTTCTACGAGCAAACAAAAATCAAATTTGGAAATTCCAATGCAGTAACGATCGTGGAGAACAAAAGAAAATGTCACAAAAACAAAAACACCTAGCAGCAACTGCTCCATCTTTGATTGTTTGGGAAAAAACAAATACATAAAAATCTTAGTGCCTTGTCATTCCCTAATTATTCAGGAGTCCCACTCCATTCCACACCGCCCTCCACGGAATCACCTCCACTAACACTTTCCACGAGTACCTTCTGATGGAGAGCATCACGCTCCGTATTCTCCATATTGTTCAACAAGTACAGAGCTAGACCCAGCCTCTCCTCTTCACTGTCAAACTGCAAAATGTAAATGAAGAAGCCATAAAAAAATGACCAAAATTGCGTCAATAACAATAATACCAAGATGAAGGGAATAAACCACCTTCTTCTTCAGTCCCCGGGCACACTCATCCAAATGGCCACCACATGTCATCAACTTCAACACAAACAACCCACAGTCGAACCTGGCCCAAAAACATTTAAACCGAAAATTCAATCAAATAGCTTATTACAAACAAACCAACTAATGAGAAACTAGAAAGATAAACATACCCATTCTCTTGCCGCGGAGCATTGACCACCTCTACGATGGTGAAAGTGCAAAACATCTTGGCTTCGAATCTCCTCATGACTGCTTCAAAAAAGATCGAGTCCAGTTCCTTTGCCTACAGCAAGTACATAATATGTCAGCATATATACAAATTGAATACATAACATAGCCTTTTAGATGCCCAAGATGACTTACAATCAGTGATACTTTTTCTCCCCTTGTAATTGGATCGACACAATTTGGAAGTGAGTCCCATATTTCAATCACCTCTTTCTTAAGGTCAAAAACAGAAAGAAAGAAGTGGCTACCCACCAGCACTGGGACAAAAATCTGACATGTACACACATTACTTAAACCTCAACAAAAAATTCTATCCATCACGAAATTCGAAGAGGTTCCAGCATTTGCAACAGTTACCTTCTCACAATCATTGAAGTCCCCAGAGCAGTACACTGTTTTAATTCTTTTCTTAGGGTAAGAAAAAACGCGATCTCCGGTTGCACAGGCCACCTACAAGAATAGTCATATTAAATCATAATAGTTACACAATCTATTCACTTTTTATGGATACCTAGATAAGGTTCCAATTTTTACGTGCTAACCAGTCAGGTTCATAATGTCAATGTCACCTCGCGAACAGAAGTGCTGCAAATACACTAGTGTGGTATGAGTTTATTGCAAAGAAGCAGCCATACAACTTTTAAAAGGAAACCTAAAAATTTGGTTTCTGGAATTTCAAGAAAATTGGGCAACACGTCTAGGATTGGGTGGCGCTACAACTTTTCAATCGATAATTCAGCACAAAAATTATGGCCTAAAGTTCAAGTTTTTTTAATGACAGACAACAAATTTAAGTGACTAGCCGAGATATTCTAATAACAGCACAAAAATTATGGCCTAAAGTTCAACAGATTTTAACAACCCTATACAATCATTCATAATGAAGACTCTTATAACCAAAAATAACTTTTAGCAACCAGTAGTGTTTGAAATATATCCAATTACTACTTTTAAAGATATGCAAAATCATACCAAATACAACTTATGAACTTACAGCAAATGCCGGTGGTAAGAACCAATTCAAAGGTTTTTCATTTTCCAACTCCGGCACCGTTAACAAGTCAACGCACATAGTGATCACCTACACAAATAAGCAGTGTCAAAACACATATCATGTTACACAACTTTGCTCCTTTACTAAGCCATTTATAAATTCAAGAATCAAGATAAGTTGTATACGAACCTGAGTAGACAATGGTATTTCCGGCACTAGTACCTTAAACTCTCCACGGGTTAGATGAAACCATGGAGATCTAACCAGCGCCTCACTACAACCAACAACAGACAATACAAATCATTTTTTAGTGCTTTTAACGTGCAGAAAATGAATTATGCTCAATTAATAACAATGTAACACAATTTTTTTAATACCTTTCATCCTTGAATGGATCAAAAACGTGGTTGATCAACCACTGATCCCTTTTTGATAGGGACTTTGTAGTGATGAAGGGGCCGATCACCTTTATTTTGGCATTAGTCCTCTCGGGATCTTTCCGGGTCCAAATAGGACTCCGCAACCTAATTGGAGACTTTCTAACCGCTTTCCCCTATCATTTAACATATGCATTAAAACACTGATATCACATAAACACAAAAAACAAAAGTGTGACTAGGGGTACCTTTCTCCTGCTGACTGTGCTTTTCGTCTCATGTTGACTCCTTGTTGCCAAGGAAAACGAGCTATCCGAGCTTAAGTTCACAACTTCGACTTTATCGTCATTCTTCTCTTTTCTGCCAATTTCAGAGTTCCCACCAAACCTCCCAATCAACAGGTCCCTAAACGAATGCACTGTTGTCCTCAAGTCGTTAATATCATCCTTCAACTCCCTTTTCATAGATAGCTGACCTTTTTCCAAGTCAGTCATAAACGAATGCAGGCTCCTGATCTGCAAAACAAAAACCCAGGCATTTAGGTACCCCAAATAAAAATAACAAAATAAAGGAATGCTGGACACTGTACCAATTTCGAAACTTTACCTCATTTGATTCGGCCACTGACTTGTCTAACCTGAAAACAACATTAACAAAACGAAGCTTCAGCAGGGGGCATAAGTCTCAGGAACTAAGGCATCGGAAAACAACTCAAACTAACCCTTCCATGACACTGATCTTCCTTCGTTTGTTTTCTTCCAGAAAATACGAAGATTATTCCACTCGGATGAGTAACTTATATAGGATAAACGTGTTTAGAGTTCTGATGAAGGAAGGGGACTGTTACAAAATCTTTCTGTTGTGATTTGTATTTATTAGAATTAAAATTAAATAAACTAATAAGCTTCCTAGAAGGTAAATACTTCTTATCAAAACTCGTGGGTGGGAATGAAAATCCCTTATTTTATTAAGTCTCCTAGTCTTCACAATTGTGATATAATACTGAAATACTTAAATCATTCTTTCCTGGCGTGAAAAGTGCAGGGAGATACAATAAGGAAAAGAAAAAAAAACCCCAATCAGAAGCAACGCAAACAACAAGTTGTATGAAACACAAGGTACATGTGTTGCTTCAGTTTATTTATGGATCAACATTGAAGACAGACCAGATTTGAGGAAAGAAGGTTTAACAGGGACTTAAGGTCGAATGGAAGCACAAGCTTTCGAAGACCAAGTCCCTTTACTTCTCAAATCCGACTCTGAAAGCTAAAAGAAACAGCTTTAGGTCGAATCAGAACAAATCGCCAAGACCCAAAACCATGCCTAGATGCACACTCCCGTCAATTTGACCAAAATACGGATAGCTACCTCAGTCTGCGTTGATGCCATTTAATATGTTCCCAACTAGGCATCTACCTATATACATCCACCCTCTATAGTCTCAACTATGCATCAAACAAGTCATCAATCACCATAAGTATAGAGCTACAACACTTTCAACAGTTTAATATGCTCCCATCTAGGCATCTACCTACATATATCCACCCTCTCACCTATGCATACAACAAGTTATCAACCACCATACGAAAAGGAGAGTCAGAGCAGTTAGAGCAAGAGCACACAGCCTAGCAACATGTCAATTAACCAACCATTCAGACCCATAAGTGATGATTAACAGTTCTTAACACATGCATCCACCGAAACCTGTGAAGTATCATCAATCCTTTCCTGTATAACGACTGCTTATGTTACCTTTTACACAGTCTGCTTCTTCTTTCCTTCTCACGTAGTCGACCTCCATCCTAGCAACCCGATCTTGCTCTTTCCGTTTCATTTGCCGATACTGTTTGTTAAAAACCAAGTAGCTGTGAGATGAATATATGAGGACTTCAATCCAGCCATAACATTGATTTGTGCACTATGAAACTCAAAACTTTTTGGACAGCTAGTTTTAGCAGCTATATTAGCTGCTCATACCGAAACACAATAGATCACGGTTATGCCCATATCAATTTCCTAGAGGCTCCGCATTAGTTGAAAGCACCAGGATCACCATTTTCGGAAGCATACTCACAAGAGATTAGATGTTCAATGCAGTAGTAAGGTACAAAGGCTAACTCAAGAACCAAATATTATGTGTAGAGAACAACAAGAACCTATGGCAGCTGAATGGATAGATAAAATGCAGAGTTAAGACCACGCAAAATAGGCTGAAGAAGATCATCGTACCATACACAGATAGACAACCTGGACCCTAGTGAAATTAAGTTCAAAGAGGCTGAAGAATGATGTTGATGTTTGATTTAACTCCCAATTAACATAATATGTAGAAATAAAACATCACTACCAGAAGCCATAGAAGTAATGCTAATAGTACAAGCAGAAAGACCTCCACCCACCACCATACATGTAGGAAGAGATCTTCTTTAACTTCATTACAATGTTATTAGACTACAAATGATTTTTGATTAATTTTGTATGTTTCTTTCTGCCGAGAAATAAATTTTCAACACATTAAGCCTGTGAAGACATCACTACAATATTTCGACAGCAGATTCCCCCCCCCTAGCAAAAGCACCATTCATTCAATCAGAGAACTGTCAATGCTGCTCCTGCTCATTGCCTTAGCATCTACCACGCCAAAATAAGAGAGACCATTCATATAGTTCTAGATAAGCCTAACAATGCTTTCCGGATAATGCTTGCGGTCGTGAACACTAAATTTTTACAACAACTTAATCTGCCCTTGTTATAGTCGCCATGTTCATCACCTATAACACTTTACTCTCTGAACCTGCAATCCTTTAGCTTGAACAGCAACCCTAACCCCACAAATTATAACCAAGACTAATCCCAACCCTATTCGCTATGCATTCACAACTTATCACAAAAGTTCAGAGAAGTTACAATGAGGAACTCCTCCTAAACCTATGCTAACTCCACCGTGAAGTAAAACGAGAGACACTCTTGTGAATGACGCAAGTCGCAATACCTGGTGAAACTCGCGACTCCGCTCGATTGCCGTAGCACGACCCGCAACTCCCATCAATCTCATAAATCATCCGCTGCATCGCCTCCCCTTGCACCTGCGACAAATCAAGCTAAAAAACCCTAAGTTTAGAGAGATAAATAGGCTTGATAGGAGAATCGGGATAGGAGATGGCGTTGAATTGAAGTCCCTCGCTTCTAAATCAGATGTGATTGCCTCTTTGGGGGGTACCGGGAGAAACTTATTATCTAGCCATGGAAACTCACAAAATCAAACTCGCCTCTTCAGCAGCTCACTCGGAACTTCTAAATGTCTATTGCATTAAAGTTGCTTGAATCCTCTGAACATTCATCACACATCATCATTGCAAGCTGATTGGAAAGAAACTAGTCAGGTTGGTCCTTTTCAAACTAGTATTTCATCAAGACACTTCAGTTGACAAACTCAAGTAAAAGAGTTGACACATCTATCAATCATTCTACAGACTAATGAGGCATCTCGGAAGATGGTCTTATAAGAACACAAAACCATTCAGATGACAATCTGAACAGCGATCGTACCAATAAGGAAAAACAGAAAACTGTCCTCCAAAATGCAGAGTGATTCCATAGATCCAGAAGAGATTCAACTACTAAAAGACTCAGACACATGATCAGAGTACCATTAGCCTTCTTAAATTTAAAACACATCTTTTGACGCAAGACCTGCACCCAATATTATAACAATCAACAAAATGACTATTTTCCATATGTACAAAAAGCTTCAAAGTTTTTGTGGATTCGGCTATTAAAGGGAAAAGGCACAATGTGAAACAGAAAGTTGCCCTGAAAACTTCAGAATCTAAAGACAACAATATCGTCCTTATTTAAGATTCTTACAACAACACGTATGAGCCATGTTCTTTCCAAAACTCCAATCATTCAACATCAAGTTTGACACTTTACATCTGATATGCCAATTTCGCCTAATTTACTAAGAGCTCAATAGTCTACTAAACCCAAGTCAATTAGAACTACTTGCTGTTTCATTGCAAACTAAAACATAAAAAGAACTAGGTGAAACTAACCTAGGCGAATACTACATTAACCTTAGGACGAGGCTTGTATCCAAGAGGATACCCAATTAAGCATCAAAAGGTACATACATGGTTTTTAGACTAGTTATTTCCTTTATCCTAACCAGTTTGAATAACACAGACCGTAACATTAGTGGAACTAGAGTTTATAGTGCGGGTTTGATGCTTATGTTGGACTACTATGGAAAATACCTTGTTAATAGAGGGTAATGGAACCATCAGTAGGATAGAACACCTCACATACTCAAATTCATCATTAAGCCCTCTAAAAATCCTAATTACTTACTTTGCTCTCATGTATTCAGCATAATAACATATAGGTAGGCAAGCATAGACACAAATATAATGATAAGTAGTTAATTCATCCCATAAAACCCTAAATCTGGTGAAGAGCGCACTTACACACTGAGTGGATTGCTTTAATCTTTAAATCTCATCTTGCATATATGCAATCTGAACTAGATCAGCAAAGCTGAAGTGCTCTTTAAGGTCTTGCCAGACTTTAATGGTAGTTTTCAGCCACAAAACACTTTGCGGGATCTTCATCGGGAGCAAACAAAGAATCCAACCAAGACCTAGCGTATTGCACTGCTCACAAGCTTAAAACAACGGATCTTCGGTGGGAGGCATCGTGACAGATAGATCTACGAACGAGATCTTGTTGTTCGATAGAAGGCTGAAGTGCCCGAAACTAGCCCAGGAATCGCCGACACGAGTTGCATCATCACCTAATCGCCTTAACTGATGTAGTAGTATTAGGGGTGGTTCGCGACGAGAGTAACTGCTCTGATACCATGTTATGAGAGAGAAATGGCCATAATTTCATTTTACCAAAAGGTAAATAATACATTATCCATTATTGCATTTATATCTGTCCAAAATAACAAATTACAAAACGATAAGTTATAAAAAAATATATTACCTTCAGTCCTAAACTAATTCTAATTTACAATATACTTCAAATGGGCCAGCCACAGTTTGAGGAAAGACGATATGAAAATTGATGGCTAACGAGGAGGAACGACATCGCTGATAAGGTGGGAATGACATTTGACGACATCAAACAACGGTGAACAATGATGTTGACCCGTGCAGAAGGTTGCGACTGAAGATCATACTTTGTTTGACGACCAGATCATAAGCAAATTATAACGAAATCTTTGGCAAACTTCTGACTAGTCAGCTTTTTTTATTCGACAATTGGAGTGTAGATCGAAGCTTCAGCCAACATTATAATTTATTTAGATCTATATCTTCCATTGTTTGAGAGTTGTTGGCTTGAGAGATAATTTTCATCAATACTTTTTTTAATTAATTAGAGGGCAAAGAAACTCCACCAACCTTTTGCCTTTTTCTCATTGCATCCTGATTTGGGGGGAGGGGGTAAGGGCAAATAATATATATGCCCCTCATTTAATCCCCTCCACACTCTTCAAACAAAAATCAAATGAGAGAAAATGTATATAATTTTGTGTTTATCCTCCTTTTTACTTCTCTCTCATTTACCCCTCTTCCCAAATATAACATAAAGAAAGGAGGAGAGAGCTACGAATGTAATAAAAATGTCAATGCATAGTGTAGTGAATATTTATTAAAAAACAAATAAATCAAATTTAATAGTTAAATACTTAAATTGTATGTAAATTTGATAGTAAAAAAACAAACGACTTATATATCTCACAAAAGAATTGTGGGTTCATTTTAGAACAGTTTGAGTTCGTAATATCTAAAAACTCCAGGTGAATTACCCAAATTTCATTGATCTTATTTTTTTTATCCTTACAATTGGCATAATGTTGTTGACAAAAATTAAATATTGAGAGCTCATGGTTGACTAATAATCTCCAATTGGTTGTGATAGGAGAAATCATTAATGTCAGACAGAGTTTTTTTTGTTTCAAATTTTATTAGATCCTCTGATTATTTAGTAGACTACTGAAGTGTTTATAAGTGATAAAACCATATAACTATACCAATGCTGAGTGGTACACATCACGTAAATTGATGTCATTTCATTTTCATAGGGGTATCACCTTATCTCAGGGGCGGAGCTAGGTGGTACTTCGGGGGGGCCTCGGCCCCCCCGAGATTTTTGAAATCACGTACAAAATTCTATCGAGGTTTGAAGAATTACGTATAAAATGAAGATTAGTATAAATACAAACTGTGTGCATTAATGAAGCATATGATTTGTGTGTAGTCCAGCGGAGCAAAAGTTGATTGTTGTCATTCATGGTATTGGTTCGAAACCTGTTGGCAGCAAATTGTTACTGATTTTTTAACCTTCTTAACTGACTGTGATAAAAACTCATATTTAATTGTCTTTAACCTTCTTAATTGAGCGTGACAAAGACCATATTAATTTTTTTAACCTTGTTAATTTAATTTTAACTGATCGTGATAAAAAACCATATTTAATTGTCTTTAACCTTCTTAATTGAGCGTAATTTGTTTTACAAGTCATGTAATCTTGAAGTAGCTTAATTATGTTCTTCAAATTTAAATTTATATTTCTAATAATAGTTTTGGCATTTTCTTTATCTCAAATATTAAAAATAAATTATAAATAAATACAAATATTAATTACATTTTATGATATATTTTCTTCTACATATTACACTTTCTAAACTTCGGCCCCCCGACGGTCAAATCCTGGCTCCGCCCCTGCCTTATCTAGTTGGGTTTATGGATATTGAGTTCTTAAGGGATGAACATTTACATACATATTCTAAGCTAAAATGTTAAAGTTACATTTGGGGGGTAAGGGCAAATAATATATATGCCAAGAGAAGCACATGTCATGGAATCAAAGCCTCCCTTTTGAGTTCAAGTGTGTCATTATTTGAAAAGGTTTTCTTCTCGACTTTAAAAGATTGTAGAGTGATCTACTTTGTAAAAGGAAAAAAGAAAGGACATGAATTGGTGGAAAAGGTTTTGAAAAAACCAATATTTTACTTGTCGTCTTTGGAATCCACTAGACACTTGCTTCCTTCGTTTAGTCTAGTCATTGTAGTCTTTACCGTACTAGTTAACAAACATAAAATCTCACAAGATATGTTGATGTATGATCAATATTTCAATTCACAAAAAATAGTAATAAAAAATTCACTTACACTATCATAACCCTATTGAAGTGGCTTCCTTTCGTGGACTCACATGTAGATATAGACATGTGGGACGAGAAATTATATAGACGAGTAACATTAATATTAATTAGTACAAACTTCAACCAAATTTGTTAGAAATAAAAAATTAGGTACCCAAATGCTAGTTTCCCAAAAATTCCATCACCTTATATGTAATTGACCAATTTTTTTCAATACACACCAAACACTCAAGCTTCCTTTCCCTCCTTTTCCCCAAATTCAAGACTTTTAGAGAAAACCAAGCCAATACACGCCAAAACTTGAGGAAGTTTGTCACAATTGATTCTATTTGGAATAAAGGTCCAAAAGGGGCAAGAAGAATGAGCAATTATAGGTACAAAAACAAAAGAAAGAAGGAAACAAATCCTCTCACTACATTGCACCAAACCCATCCCGCTATGGTTGGAATGATCACAGATAGTTGCGGCTATATGTTCATAGATTCAGCCACAAAATGCTTCCTTCTTATTCATATGTACACGTTTTCCCTTGGCCAAAGGAAAATCCAACTTGTACAAAAGTTTGGGTTATATGAACATAGGTGGCTAAGTAAAGTGAACACAAGCTCACAAAAGGCTAATTAACACATCAATCAATGAAACCCTCTTGACCCTCTGGATTGATACAACTCCAACCTACTCTTTGCTTCTGGCAATAACCCTTGAATTGTCACATTTTCCACTAAATGCCCTTGCTTCATTGACCATTCGAGCACGATAAGCACCTCTTCATTCGCCAACACCTCGCTATCTGGACAATTCATTGTAATGTAACACAACATGATCAAGGAAGGGATTTGAATCATCTGCTCCCCAAAGTAAACCAACTGAATCAAATGCTTTGTCCCTCCCGCGGCGATAATAGCCTTGGAATGGTTTACACACAAGAAATTCTCTGTGGATGCGAACTTGTTCAATGCCACAGTTGCCTCCACCATCACCTCGGGCTCTCTCTCATCCAATAGCTTCACCAATGGCCCCACCATCCTCGTCTCGGTGGCACGAAAAGTCCTGGCTAGGTTCCCTATGGCTCGTATGCATGGGACCAATAGGTCCGACTCTGCTATCTCGATCACTTTGAGGAGTTGGTCCACCACGGCTCGAGCAGATGGTGATGTGGGCTTGAAGGCTGATCGCCTCAAGTCTGCATGCTGCTCTGCTACCGTGGTAATCTCCATCAAAGCCATGGCCGAATATGATTGCACCTCCTCTGCTCCCTTCTCGAGCAAGATGGCAAAGCAGAGTAGTGCTCGTGACTCTGTTATGCTACGACATATCGTCACGTTACCTCGTGCTAGTTGCCATAGTGCTCGAGCTGCCATTGCTTTCATGTTGGCTTTTGTGGCTGGATCTTCTTGCTCTCTTTTCTTGATGCTCGTTCCAGATAATTGAACACGATGGTGTTGGTGGTGGTGGTGATGTTTGCCATTGTGATTCTTCCCTTTTGGCTTACGCGGACTAGGGCTCTTCTTCTGGGCTCCTACTAAGTTCGAAGAGGATGACGATGGTGTTGTGGTTGACGGTTTTTGGTTGTTGTTATTTGGTGGTTGGTTCTGAACTAATGTGCTAGTGACCACATTTTGCATTTGAGATGGGGTTTGATTGTTCATTGGGTGGGCGATTTTTGGGACTGTTAAATCCTCCTCGGATTCTCTATCGTGCGAGTTATGGCTATTGCTAGCTACAAGAACTGAATGAATAGAGTTTTGCTTGTTCATGTTCACAATCGTGTACTTACTATGTTCTTGAACAGTTTCAAAGGCTAGGTGACTAACCAAGAACCGAATTATGTTGTTCTGAGCAAAATGGTCTTGGCATTTGGGATGATGTGCAGCTAATTCCGACACGGCCCAAGCTACAACTGACTGGACCTTCATGTGACCTTCTTTGAGGATTTTTGCGAACACATTGCAAACCCCGGCATTCACAATTTGTTCCACACTATCTGGGTCCCGGCCCAGCAACCCTATTGCTCTGGCAGCGTTTTCTTGGCCTTCCATTTTCCCCTCTTTTGCCAATTTGAGTAGCGGCGGGACTCCCCCTTCCTCGATTATGAGGCGGCCGTACCGATCGTTGTCTCTAGCGAGGGAGACGAGGGAGGCGGCTGCATCAGATCTTTCTTCGGAGGAGCCTGTGTAGAGGATTGCAATTTGTTCCCAGATGAGGCATAAGATGGGTTCGTTGGCGGCAATAGGCGGGAGGCCGAGGTATTCGTCATCTCGGTCATCAGCAGATGCAGAGACGCGGAGGAGCCAAGAGACGTCTCCGATTGAGTTTTCAAGCTGGACAGAGAGCTTGCGGAAGGCGGTGGCTGGGATGATTGTGAACATCCTCTTCATGATGCCAGTGGCGCGACATTTTATGACTAGAGTTAGGGCCTTATCGAGAACTTGTTCGGTGTCATCTATGATACGACGGGTGGGTCGTTCGTAGAGGTCGTTGCTAGCGCGGGCAGCTTGACGGAGGAGGGTGGCGAGTTTTTCTGTCTTAGATTTCAACTCCTGGCAATCTTGCTTGAAAGATTGGGCCTCGTCGGCTGCTTTCGTGACATGGTCGGCCAATTGGATTGGTCGTGCCAAGATCTCCTTCACGATGTCCGCCATGGCCAAAAGCGGACCTGAAGAAACTCCTTCAAGGAAAAAACTTGGGCACGAGTATTTATACTCTCAAAATGTGGGGAATGGAGAAGGAAAAAGAAAGACCCAAAAATTGAATTAGATAGTATTGTAATGGGTTTCTTCTTCTTCTTTCTTCCTTTACCCCCTTAGAGATTCCTTCGTTTTTTATTCTTCTTCCTTCCTCTGTTTTCTTGTAAAATTGGTTTCTAGGGTGCATATTTTTAAATTTGTTTCCCCACCCTTTTGGGGATTTTGGCTTGGGAAGTGACGGAGAAGGTGGGGGAGGGTGATCTCACCGCCGGCGGGGTGAGGGGATTAGGGTGAGGAGAGAGAGAGAGAGAGGAAATGCAGGGGAAAGAGGAAAATGGGGGTTTGAGGAATTGGAAGGGTCGAACTGGTTTTGCTCTAATTTTACCATCAAAATTATGAAGGCAACCGTTAGCCTTACGTTATATATAGGAAAGAAAGTGTAAAAATTTTGTGATATAGTTAGTCCATACCATCATCAATGAATTAGCATTTAGTAAGATTTTCATAAGTTATTTTGTCGTTATGTCGTTTTTGTACACTCTTATAATGAGGGGAGGATGAGTATCTCAATATTAATATTTGTCATATTAAATATGAATTAGATCGAGTAATACTGATATGAGATAGATTTTGAAACAAATCAATCTATTTGATAAATATATATATATAAATATAAGGTGGCTACTTCGGTGCACTCACTTTTTTGGGTGCACTCAGTGCACCCATCTCTAAAAGTGTCCATAATACATCAATTTTTGAACTTTAATGAGTACTCTCAATCTAATATGATGATATGTCATAGAATCATAACAAATCAATCTACTACTCTAACCCTTTAACCTTCAATTTTGAATCACAAGGCAAAATCCCAAACTGTAACCCTAAACCCCTAAATCCTAAATTCTACAAATTAAAGTAAATTTTAAATGATTTTTTTTCAAATTCACGTGCTTCTTGTTCATAATATCATAAGCAACAATTGATACCGTTTTGACATGAATCACATGCTCAGAATGATGATTATGAGGCGGGTGCACTGAGTGCACCCAAAAAAGTGGGTGCGCCGAATTCGTCACCATAAATATATATATATATATATATATATATATATATATATATATATATATGGATGGTTCTGTTGTACCTTGACTAAAATCAAGGTATATCATACCTTGAGTAAGAAAATGCTATCTAGACCTCGAATTAACAAAAGTTTGCAATGTGGTAGTATACCCTAATTCTTATAGATTAAAATCTAGGCCTTAATTCTAAAAAAAATCATACACTAAGATCAATTTAACTAGAAACAAAAATCGATGGTAATGATTCGTCGAAACATATGCAACAAATTACATACACAATCCTAGGGTTTAGGGTCTATGATTTAGATAACTAAGACCAAGGGTTCACTCATCCAGGGTTAGGGTATAGTATAATGCCACAAAATCCGGTTAATTCGAGGTCTAGATAGCATTTTCTTACTAAGGGTATGCCGTACCCTAGATTTTAACCACGGTAGGATAGAAGGCACCATATATATATATATATATCGGATGGGATGCTGCGGTGCTATTCTCTACAAACGGCAAAGGTGCGTCGTTATATCGGATGAACATCGACAAGGACGACGGCCAATTGGCCGACACCGGAGCCCGCCTCAACGAAAGATGGACGGAAGGCATGGGTTTCGCTTTGGTATATATATATATATATATATATATATATATATATATATATATGTATGGTTCAGGCTAGCGTACGACGGTCGTACGTTGTGCGCCTGTGTTCACACTTGTTAATAATTTTTAATTAATTATAATTAAGTAATTATTTAAAAATAATAAAAATTACAAGCATACCTATAAATTTATTTCAGAATACTATTTAGTCCCAAATAATATTTTGTCGTCTTTCTGCTTAAATCAATCATGTAAATTTCAATTGAACATTTATAGTACCTTCTTTTTGTCATTCATAATTTATAACACCTAAATTTCTTATCAATAATAAATAGTACAATTATTTTTATTTCTTCTTTCAAAATGCATAACTAAAATATTGAATGTCACAAACATTTTATTCATTTCCTTTTCTGAAAAATCCCACAAACCATTTCACCTTCTTCCTCTTATCCTTTCGTGTCCATGCTCCTCCATTTTTAGCAAACTCCATCCCCTATCCCCTTTCACCGTCATATCTCCGATTCGGCCGAAGTCTTCTAATCGCCGTTGGCCTCTCCTACTCTCCCGCCAAAGAATGACCTTGCCGATGCAATTGTAGGAAATGAGCATTTATAGAGGAGGGAAAGCGAGGGTTGGGATCCGTAGGTGGTGGAAGAAGAAGAAGAAGAGACTGATAAGGCGACGGTGGGCTGCGATGATGGTGATGATCGACAGCTTGGAGTTTGGGAGAAGTGAGGGACTTCAATTAAACTCCCCTGGTTTTCTTCCCCCAAGGCCACATGCATCTTCATCAGAACTCCAAGGTTACTTCCAGTACCAGCCAAAACCTCGGTCTGTGTATCAATTTTACTTCCGTCGAGCAACTCGCTAAACTCAATACAAGGCCGCCTTCGCCGACGCAGGCAGATCGATTTTCCACTCGTCGTCCTCCGCTCGCAGTGCGGCTGCCCGTTTTGCCTCGCAAACCAAGGCCGCTCCAAAATCCGCTCCAACTTCATCATTGAGTGCTTCCGCCAGCAAGCCCCTCTCTCGCCCTGCATTCAGGTCGACATTGGGTACTCACAGTTGGAGATTGATATCGTAATTGAATTGAATTGAATGGTTGCAAGTTACTTCCTTTATTCGTTATGTCCCTTTGTTTATGATAATTTCTTTCTATTTTGGGTTGGGTACGCAGGCTTCCAGTCGAGATGAGCACTGCGGTGGAATCCATGTTGCCTTACCACATTGCTACTGCCTCAGCATTGATGACCTCGATGCTTTCCATCTCTCAGCGTGGCTATGGATGGCTTCCTGAAGGTTAAACGTACTTCCACTGTTTCCCGCTCATCTATTTTGGATTGTTGCTTCTTTTATTCCGGACTTGGAATTGTGTGCTTATATTGCTGCAATACTCTGGAGTTGGGTGCTTGAATGGTTTTATGTTCTCCTTATTAGGGTTTGATTTGTTCATGATATGCATGATTGATTCCGGTGTCTTGGTGTTGATTTCTCCATATGTTCCAAGCATTAATGAGTGATAGCATGTTTTGCTGTTTGGATAGCTTTCGTTGCCGAACTTTTGGGTTCAAAGATCCTGGACATTGGAGGTGTCCGGTGTCCGGTCATTTCGTTTAATTGCCTTCTTGTTTCTCTGTTTTGGTGTTTTTTCCTATAGAACCGGTCTTGCTTGTAGGCTGCCTAACTGGTTGATTTTATCTCTTTGACTTAGGTGTCTAGCAACGTTTGTCCCCATCCTTGATGTTCTTTTCTTCATTTTGGTTTCCTGGTAAGTTTGTGCTTGCTGGATTTAGGTCAATTTAAGAAGCAAAATCTGTAAATCGACACACTAGGTAGCAGATTTAACTCGATCAGGATTCTTTTTATCACAAACCTTTTCCCCAGATCTAATGAACCGTCACCTTTTAGGACACACATTTGAGTTATCTGGTTTTAGTTCTATTTCTAGTGAGAAGGGATGTGTTCCTTACGATTATATTGTATTGTCACTGCAACGTTATCGTGACCTAGTTGTTCAGTGTCACCCACAAGATCCCCCTACTGTGCCTATAATCAATTTTGTTGCTTCTGGCCTTAATGTTGAACAACCCCATCATCTGATGGCCTCTACCTCCACTATTCCTCATGGCCATGATGGAGGCAAGTATATTTTAACCACTATGTTGCCTCGACCTGTTACAAAATGGATCCTAGATAGCGGTGCTTCTGATCATGTAGTTTCTAACATTGCCGCTCTAGTTTCTTTATTGTTGTGTATGATGTTTTTGTCTCCTTACCAAATGGAACAATAGTTTTTGTCACTCATATAGGTTCTGTTTGTTCAAGTGAACACTTAATACTTAAAATATTTTTGTTAATTCCTCAATTTGGGTTTAATTTAATATAAGTTTGCAAATTAAGCAAGGACTTTCTTTCATAATCACTGCCTTATACAAGATCTGACCTCCTGGAAGATGATTGGTTAACACACGCGGGTTGCTTTAAATTTCTAAAGTCTGAGAACACCTACTCTAACCCTAACAATGACAAGTATACCTGATAGACAGATAATTATACATGTTTCCACCCCTATTCTGAAGCTGTTTGTGATGAGGAATCTCGTGTTTTAAGCCGATTTCACGCTAGGTTGTGTGTTTATGTCATATTTCAGATCCCGGCGTTGGAATCGAGGCGGAGAAACGAGTTCTGGGTCGAAAGGAGCAAAGTTGGGACGAATAGGGCTGAAGGAGGAAAATACCCGGTCAGGTGGCCAAATACCCGACCGGGTATTCACCACTTTTGGGCGCCCGAGAAGCAGAGAGGGGCCCGGGCACAGCAGCAAAATCCCCGGTCGGGGATTATGGCGATTGACCGGGGATTCTTCCCTTAAGCGAAACGGTGCGCTGCAGAGATACCCGGTCGAAACCCAAAATACCCGACCGGGTATTTCGACCGGGTATCGCGACCAGGCAGCTGATTTAAGGAGGAAGAAGGCCAACATTGAAGGGTTCCGAGTTTTTGAGAGAGAAATCGATTCCTAGAGAGAGAAAGCGACGAACCAGAGTTCCCAAGCGCCTTAGGTCGATCTTCAACACCATTGGAGCCCGGTTTGAGCTTGGAGAAGTGCGATTAAACGTCTAGGAGCAGGAATCCAACTTCACAGTATGATTTCCGCGTCTGAATCTGCTTTTGCTTCTTTCTCTATGGAGTAGTTTCCCCATTCATCTGGGTATGGGGAACCCTAGATTTGTATGCTAGGTCTGATTGTATGAACCCAAGTACAGAGTTTGTGAATTGATTATATTCGATTGAGGTTTGAATGATTGAATGACTTGAATCCTGATCAAATTCCTGTTGTTTCTGCTTTGACCTAGAATGAGAATATCTGCCTAGGTTGATAGAGCACCCTTAATCGAAGGTGGCGAATTGGTGACTTTAGTCGATGAGCCAATTCGCTATTCTGTACCGAAGTTAATTCGGTAGTGGAGGTTTGGTTCATTAGGGCCTCAATCTGTTTACTCCGGTGGAGGTTAGTCGCCCGCTAGAGACTCAGATTGAGAGGGTCTGGAGACCTTTAGTCGAGACTTCAGGCTAATTGAGAACCTTCCGCAGTATAACTTTCATGAAAACTGAACTTGGTAATTACAATCCGACTTAACTGCAGTCTAGGGGGAACCATATCCGGGTGACCTCTCTTGACTTGACAACAAACCGTTTACTTGCTTTGTGTTCTGTTTGCTTGAGTTGCACTAAAAGTTCACCGCTGAATAACAAGAATTCACCGAGTAGTCATCACATCTAGGACCCGGGTTGACATTAAAACCCGACCCGCTATACTACGCTTTAGGAAGTGGTTATACTTGGCCATTTTCTAGGGTGACAGTAACAGCGAGCCAAGTTTTTGGCGCCGTTGCCGGGGACGGCTAGGTTGTTGAAGAAAAGTGATTTCTGTTACTTTAGCATTTTCATTTTTGCATTGAGTTTCTGTTCTTCCCACTTGTGCCTTCACGGGTTTGCATTGCTTGATTGTGTGCAGCTAGTGCATGACCCGTAGCCAGTCGGGAGGTTTACTGCCGTTGAATCCTGAGATTGAGCGCACCTGCAAACAACTTCGGAGACAACAGCAAGCTAGACTGGCTACGGTGGAGCGCCGAGACGGCCAATTGACCAGCGACTCCGAGGACGAGCACGAGATGGAAGGCGATCAGAACCCGCCTCCTCAGAACCAGATCCTGGGGAACGACCAACATCCCCAGGAAGCTGGCCACCATCATCATCCACCACGACCGGGTCCCACCTTGGAGTACTACTATACTCCACGGATTGCTGACATCCGCCCGGTCATCCTCTATCCACCCATCCCTGCAAACAACTTCGAGATCAAGCCATGCTGGATCCAACTCATCACATCCTCTATCCAGTTCCATGGCTTGAAGGATGAGGAAGCCCGGGTACATCTTTCCCGTTTTCTGCAACTGACGAACGGGTTCAAGTTGAATGGTGTCCCGGATGACGCAATCCGCCTTCATCTCTTCCCCCATTCTCTGGCGGGGAATGCTAAGAGGTGGTTGGAGACCCAGCCCCCATTGTCCATCACCTCTTGGGACGATCTGGCTGACAAGTTCGTGCACCGGTATTATCCGGCATCGAAGACCACGGAGATCCAGCGGGAGATCACTCACTTCCGCCAAGAGCCAGATGAGTCACTTCGTGATGCATGGGAGCGGTACATGGGATACTTCTGGCAGTGTCCCCATCACGGTTTCAGCGATGCTTTCACAGTAGGGAACTTCTACAGCGCCCTCACTCCAGATAGCCAGAGGGTGATCGAGTCTCTATGCCCAGGAGGGGATATTCTCACTAAGACTCCACCCGAGCTGAACCAGATGATCAGTACCTTGGCTGACCGCGATCATTCTTGGGGACAGAGCAGCAGGGGCAGGAATGCCCGGGACCGGGGTGTGCATGCTATTGAGGCCAGATCTGGGTTAGAGCAGCAGGTGGCTGAGTTGGTGCAGACATTGAAGCAGCCTAACAGCCTCCTTCCGGGCCGAGGTGTAGCTACGCCTCCAGTAGCTCAGTGTCAGTGGTGTGAGAGCCCGAATCACCTGGTGGAGGATTGTCAGTCTATGAGGGAGTCTTCTACTCCCCAAGAGCAGGTGGACTTCATAGCAAATGCTCGGCGCCTGGACCCATACAGCAACACCTACAATGAGGGATGGCGTCAGCATCCCAACTTTGCCTGGAGCAGCAACACCAACAAACCACCTGGTTTCCCAGCACCAGCAGGTGGTTTCCAGCAGAGGCAGCCCTTCCAGGCTAGGCAGGGGCCACCACCACAGCAGCAGCCCTACCAGCCTAGGCAAGGGCAGCCATTCCAGCAGCCCCAACGCCAGTTTGCTCAGCCTCCAGCAGCCGCAGCTCCAGATCCTCAGATATCTGATCTGAAGAATATTTTGCAGGCTTTCATGACCACCAGTCAGGCGAACTTCACGAGGATGGATCAGAACATCGCCTCACTGGAGGCAGGCCAGAGGAACCAAGGTGCCAATCTCCAGAACCAGATTGGGAGCCTAGCTCGCCAGAACACTACCAGGGCACCGGGGACTCTGCCTGCCACCACCATCCCCAATCCACGGGACCCGCATGAGACTGCACACGCCATCACCACCAGGAATGGCAAGACTACATCTGCTGCTCCTGCCCAGCCCAGGCGAGACGACCCACTACCTGATTCAACACCTCCAGCTGATACTGCAGAGGTGGGGGAAGGCAGCACAACACCTGCTCCAAAGCCGCAACCTGTGGTTAAGGAGCATACACCCTAGCTGCCCTTCCCCACTCGACTCCATAGAGACAGGCTGGAGACAGAGTTTGCCAAGTTCATGGCAATGTTGAAGCAGGTCAACATCAGCATGCCGTTCGTGGAGGCACTGTCGAAGATGCCCAAGTATGCCAAGTTCATGAAAGACCTCCTCACCAACAAGAAGAAACTTGGGGATCTTTCGACAGTGATGCTCAGCGAGGAGTGTTCTGCCATCCTGCAGAACAAGCTGCCAGAGAAGCGCAAAGACCCAGGGAGTTTCACTATCCCTCTTGTTATTGGCAGCATGCATGTAGGAAAGTCCTTGGCGGACCTAGGCGCTAGCATTAACGTCATGCCCTATAAACTGTTTAAGAAGTTAGACCTAGGTGAACCTAGAGCTACTAGGATGAGCATTCAGTTAGCTGATCGTTCTATCGTGCATCCTAGGGGTATCATTGAGGACTTGCTTGTTAATGTTGGTGCATTCACATATCCTGTTGACTTTGTTATTTTGGATAT